CAACAACAACCACAGCAACAGCAACCACAGCAGCAACAACACACAATTATCATGAACGCCTCGTGGGACTTGTGTACTTTAAGGTCATACAGAGCCTTAATAGTATCAACAGTATGCCCAATGTGCGCCAAGGTGTATGGATAAGTACTGTACCAGTAGATTCACAATACCCTCTCGGGGTAGAATCGTAGAGCTGATTATGACCATCGTTGTCCCAACTCCAGCCGCAGTTCGAATTTCCCATAACCTCAGAGGTAGGGGTTCATCAATAGAAGGTTCTCTTTTATGAAGTTCTTATGCTCGGACCCTGTCATGTTGGATTACTTTGGCACCCTGGTCTTGAGGAACTCCCATGGGGTCGAGACTTCTTTGCAAAGCTCGGGAGGTAGCTTGTGTTGTGAAAGACGCGCTACTACTCGCAAACCCGTGCAACCGAGACCGCGGGATTGTGCATTGGGATGTTTTCTGATGGCAAGGTGCTTACGGAAATCCAGTGCCAGCGGCAGACGCGTGCAGCAGGGGACCCATGCTGGTTTCTTGTCAGTGGCATGATTGTGTGCTTCGCTAGCTGACTTGCCATGTTCAGTCAGCCCGCCGCAGATGTTGAGGTGCTACCATGGTGTTTCTGCAGTTTCTGCATTATTTTAGGTTCAGATGTCGCATGCAGACAGAGGCCAGGGCCAGGGGTTTGCTGAGGCCTCTTGCGCTGCGAGTTCAGCTACGTGAGGCTCCCTTATTTGTTTGGGTGGGAATGGCTTGATTCTCGAAAGTCCTATCCAAAACTACAGAAGGAAGACCATGCATGTGGATTTCCCCCAATCAGTGTATGTCCGGTCCGCATGTTTTCCCGCAGCTTTGGGTACAGAAGAAGGTTTGATTCTCCAAGGGAAGTATGAGGCTAGGGCACGGAGCAGGAAGCCAAACAGCAGGAACGACATTACCTTAGAACATATGTTCATATCCGTATTCGTCCTGTTGGAGGTAGTGGGGCCATGTTTTTGTTTAATGGGTGGGGTGTATTGTCCGCAGCTCAGAAAATCTGGCTCATCAGTCCTGTCCTTGCAAAGCTCCCTGAGACATGTCGAAACTAAATGTTACCGCCGGGGCCTCAGCGTGACAGCTACGGAAGAGCATAGAAGCGGCTCAGCAATAGAGCCGCGTATGTATGCTCCTGTTGTTTGTGTGCTGTTAATGGCTTCTGCTTCTGCGCGAATGTTCTTGAGATCAGAATCCTTGGACTGGTGACTAGTAGTTTTGTGAATTTGGTTATTTTAGGATGATCAGGGGACAAGTCATACCTGGTTGCTCACGACTTCCTTGAGTTGAGGTCGTTGGCAGTGGCAACTGGGGCATGGCCATTGCGACAATCATCGCAGGCCCTGCACGTGGGTGTCTTCCCGGAGGGGGGGGCCTGCATCTACAGTCTGGATGGGGACTTCCGTAAGTTTTGCGAGATGTGGGGTTCAATCGGTGCTGTGAGCCTCAACTTCACTATCGAGGGAGACCACAGCAGAAACTTGTTTCACTGCAAGAATCTGGCCTCTGTAGCAATTCGGCAATATGGCTCCTAGAATTCTAGAGGCTGAGATCACGAAACCCCAAAGTGTGGCTTTGGGGTTCTTTCGCCAGGCAACACAGCCAGGCATCCGGAGTTCGAGGACGACCTCACTGTCCTTCGGCAAAAGCAGTGGAACTTTGCCAATTATGGTTCTCAAGCTTCCACTTCAGAATATAGACTGCAAAACTTTAGTTGCATTTTGCGGAGTTTTTTGTGAGACACAAACAAATGACCATGTCATCGCGTTAAGGAGTTGCTTTCCTCAGAAGCTTATTGAAGGGTTTGGCAGGATTAGACTAGACTCGTCCTCCAAGTTCCTGGGGCCAACCCTCAAGAAAAGAGTCCAGTCGCGCTGAGGTATGGATGTTTGATGAGGAGGTACAGCATAAGGGCGTGAAGCGCAAGCTCTCCGAAGTCTTCAACGAGACGAAGGACGACATGGGATTGTCTGACAATCCTCCACAGATTGTCCTGGAGAGGGCGTTCTACAACCCGCCTGTGTAATTCCCATACGATCCGGGTGCTGAACCCACCCACACCTCCACGTAGCAAAGGTTGTTTAGTGTGTCTCGCACCATGCCCCATACCAGGAGAACGTCAAGTACCTCCCGGGCATCACGCTACCCTCGCACGTCAAGGCGGAGCCCGACTTGCAGAAGGCAGGCTCTGGGCAATACCCTGAACATAGCAGAGTGATAGTAGTAACGATAGGAATGATCATGTATATGTATATTCATATATATGGATAGGTCATAAGAGGAGGAGGGAGGAGGAGCAGTAG